ACATATACATCCAATGTGCATTTATGTACATCCTCACATGACAGACCTTGAAGCTCAATAGGTTAGTGTTGTCTGTAGAGTTTTAATGTTAAACACTGTGTCATGTATGAGGTAAAGTCTGCCAACAAATGCTTCTTGAACTGTGTTGAATCCAAGTGTTAACTGTCTATAAATCTGGGCTACAAGTGAACTTTATGTTCTCTTTCTCAGTAAATTCTTTGGAGGGACTTTAAATGTTTTTTTCTTATGCACAGTAATTTCTCAGTGTATTCATGAGATATACCCTCAGTTCCATCAGTGGGGATGGAGGCAGGTAAGTAGGATACTATAAAATCCCTTTCTTAATCTCCAGTCTTCCTTCCCCAGCTATTCAGGAAAACAGAAACATTGTAAATTAATAAAGACAAGGTTGTGTGGTAAAAAGAATGGAAGGCATGGGCAGAGAAATCAAAACTCCATTTTAATAAAAATTGACGAGTGTCATGTATAGGGATCTTGAACAAGTTTTGAATATTTTCTTCAACTGTGTTTCCTTTCTAATCACGTTACTGTCAACACATCTGACTTTTCTACTTTAATTTCATATACAGCTCCCTGCTGAATTAGCCTATTGCTGTATATAATTCAGATTACTTTGAGGTTTTTTTTTTTGTATAAGAAATAATGTCTAAAAATGACAGTTTTTCCCTTTCTAATTCTTACTCTTCAAAGAAAAAGGAATTGGTAGAATCATACTATTATGTTATTGCATCTGTCCAATGTAGGTTGTGGTTATGAAGTAGGAAGTCAAACTAAAAAAATGAAGTCAGAAAAATGTACCATCCCAGAATCCCTTCTTCAGAATCTTTTACTTCTTTTCTTTTAGTATGCAAATTTAACTAAACTTTAATTGATTTGACTTTTTATTGTAACAAAAATTGTAGATCTGGGTAACCTTAAGCACAACAGTTTATTGGGTCCATCCTGCTTCTTACCAATTTCTCATTTCAGTTTTCCTTTCTATGGACTTTCCATCCCCGTTTCCATCTCTGTTTTTCTAAAAATCAAAATCATAAAAAGATTTCAGACAAAAAACGCTGTCACTGCTTGATGTCTTTAGCTGAGATCCCAGTTCTGTGCAAACAAAACCCTCCTCAAGAGAAAAGTTTGTTTTTTGCCAGGAATGCACTAAAAGGGGTTTATTCATCATATAGACACAAACATTATTAGTTTAAAGTTGCAAATTTTAATGCAATTTTGTAATTTATTATAGTTTCATGGCATATAAAAAATATCTTCCTGGAAGACATACACAGGACTTACTGCTAAAAAGGGAAAAAATAACTACTCTGAGTGGGGAGCAGATGAAGTCCTTAGTGAATTTGCATCGTTGACGTGAGCGCAGCCATGTTAGTGGGAATGGCAAAGCCGTCTCTGGGTCAAACTCAGAGGAATGGCAAAGACTTCTCCCGGTCTGGGTACAGAAGCTCGCCAGTAGCTAGCCTTCATCTGAAACCAGTGTATTTGGAAACCATCAACTTCCTCATCAGGGATGACTACAACCTGAGACTACCAATTAGCTAACCCACCTCCTGCTCATCTTGTGGTACAGAAAAACACCCTGACCTTCCAGGTTGCTGTTGGTTCATCTCCACCAGAATGTATGCTGTACATGTACCTGCGCGTCGTGGAAGAGTGGAACATTCTCAGCCTCATATTGTTCCTTATGTGCCTTCCACAGTTTTTCGAATCAGGATCTCTTACTGGCCTAGAACAAGTAGGCCAGGCTATCTAGATTGGCTCAGAGATCTGTTTGTCTTTGCCTCTTTTCAGGTTGGAATTATGAGAGTATGACACTTAACCAAGTTTTTTTTTTTTTTTTGAGGAAGGGTTGAACTCAGGCTTGGGGAATTAAACTCAGGTTATCATGCTTGTAAGACAGACAACTTGCTTGAGGCAGGGTGAGGGGTGGTGGAGAGATTGCTCAGTGGTTAAGAGTATTGGCTGCCCATCCAAAGGTTCTGCATTTGATTTCCAGCTCAGTACCCTGTAGACCTGTAACACCAGCCCCAGGGAATCTGAAATGCAGATTTTATTGCAATTATGTAATACTCTGTTGACTTCCAAGGGCACCAGTAATGCACATAGTGCACAGATATACAGGCAGTCAAAACACTCATACACATAACATAAAATGTAAATTACTTACCGAGCTATTAGCTCTTCACTGTTTTCTTACACTCTTTATGATCAGCTTAAAATTATTTGAATGACACTGTTTATCAATGATTTCTTTCATGAATTGTGTCTTTTATAGTGTACATAGAAAGGCATTTCCATGCCTAAGGTGATAAGTACTTTTCCCTTTGTTTTATAGTTTTGTATTTTACTCCTAAGAATCTGTAACTTTTTTTTGTAATATGTAGGTCATATTGGTTTTGTCATAGCATTCGTTGACACAGTGCACTGTTTAAAACATACCAGATGCCACTAAATTCAAGTACAAACATGTGTTGTAAAATGGGAAAAAACAACTTGGAATAACAAAAATTGCTTGAAAGAAAATAATTGGAAAGATTTTATTATATTAATAAAACATCATGAAATTCACTATATATATACATATTTACATACACACACACATATATATTACTATACTTGAAGCTTGTTAGAAAATGTGTGCTGGTGGAACAAAAGAATGCTAAAATAACAAATTATCTCAAGGTCAGTGACAAAGATAGAGTCTATAAGACTTTATATACATAAAAACAAGATTAAAATCTCTTAGAAAAGAAGCGTGAATATGGATTTTTACAAAGGCATTATATACATACATACATATATATATGTATATATATATTTTGCTGCTTTATTTCTAAAATGCTTTATACACTGTGACAATCAACATGTTTATTTCCAAGGTTGTCACAGCTTGTTAGACACATATGCCCATTACATGCAGATAGTACATTAGTAAAGTGAAACACTCTAGTTGTGCAGAGTGAACAAAGATGGACTCAGATACCCCTCCCCCCCTTTTAAAGGGTGGACGGGTTCACATTAAGATCCCATAGGTGGAAAAGAGTGATGGGTAAGGAGCCATCTTTGGTGACTTAAGAGTTTCATCTTGGGGGCTGGAGAGATGACTCAGAGGTTAAGAGCACTGGACTGTTCTTCCAGGGGTCCTGAGTTCAATTTCCAGCAACCACATGGTGGCTCACAACCATCTATCATGATATCTGGTGCCCTTTTCTGGTTTGCAGGCAAATATGCAGACAGAACACTATATGTAATAAAAATCAGTAAATAAATAAAAAAAGAGTTTCATCTTGTACTACAATACAAAGTCCACATGAAGTTAATCATCTCAGTAAAATACAGAATATTTGAGAGTAAACCATTGACCACTTGCTGATTTGGGAATTGACTGTATAGAAAGTCTTTGATTTTTTTCAGGTATCTTTACAAACTTTGGATGCTATGTTGTCAGAATTTACATATGATTTTGATTGGTGTCTTTTTTTCTGCATTCAGCAGATTAAAGACAATAAGAGATACATACTTAGTTATGTAAAACTATTAAAAACAGACAAAATTTAACTACTTCAAAGAAAATTATGATATACTTATGTTCTGGTTTAATTTATGTTGCTGTTGATGAAATATCTTGACCAAATGCAACATGGGTAAGAATTTATTTGCCTAACAATTCCATAATTTCAGGCAAGTCACATCAAGAATTCAAGAGCTAGTCACATCATATCCATAGTTAAGAGCAGAGGGAAACACATATTGGCTTATTTATACATAGCTAGTTTTCTTTACTCTTGGATAGGTCAGGGTCCAGCCCACAAAATGGTACAGTCCACAATAGTTTGGGTCCCCCCCAACACACACACACACACACACACACACACACACACACACACACACACACACACACCAAGAAAAAACTTTATAGACGTGCCCACTAGCTAACTTTCATTTACTTAATTCCCCAATAGAGACTCTCTTACCACAAGACTCTAGATTGTGTCAAGTTGACACGCCAAAATAACCAACACACCTTGTTTTAAAAAATGTAAACGACATAGCAAACTAACTTTGCTATATACAGCTTCGGCCATATTGCTTCCAGGGTAAGATCTGATTGGCTGGACCTAGTAGTCCTTATGTTCTGGCAAGATTCTTTGGCAGTTTTTGTCTTAACTGACTATGTGTGACTAAAAGGCCACATTTTACCTGCAGTTTAGCTACTGAGACTATGGCCTCATTTTCATAGGAGAATGATGGTCTTAAGGAAATAATACTTTTAAAAGGTTTATTTATTTACTTAAGAAAAGATGTTTGTCAACTCTATAACTAACAGCAGATAATTGGCACCTATAGTTTGTGTGCCATATTATGCTATTCTGGTGGGAACTCTTCTGTGATTTGGAAACAATCAAAGAAACCCTTGAGGTCAGTTACACTTCAAATTCCATATAGGGTATTACTTGTTGTTAATACGGTTCATTGTTTATTTTTTTTGTCCTACATAATATCTGCTGATGTGATAATATTTGTTAATTTCCAAGTGGACATGTTCTTAGAGTCCCCTTACTAATAATTAATAGGAAGATTTAACAGTTCCTTGAGATGCTCTTTTCTAGTTGACCTCACACCATAGGCTTGCTGGTGTATGACGGTTTGGGGCATGTTCTCAGAATTATAGGAAATTAAATTCAGAACAAATAGCAAGCTTACATAGATGAGCACAGAGTTTATGTAGATGAGAATTTGTATGAAATTTCTAGTACCTGTTCATTAAATTTCTCTCTTTCAATATTTCAAGGAGGGAACAAAAGTCTCATTTTCCTTCTTTGTAGATGACACCATGAATAAGGGTGCTAGTAAACCTTGTAAATCTTTGAAAATATTTAATATAATACGTACTATGAAACTAGTCAGGCATCTGATCCTTCATGCAAATATTTGTTCTTGCTTTTAGTACCCTTTCATCATGCTGAAAACAACAATCCATGTGTAGTCTGTGGGGGACACAGCTTGGTGAGCTGATGCTCTTTGTTCTGGTCACAGAGGCAGCTCTCAAACCAGCAATGCCTCCAGTGATCAAGGACCAGCCTTTCAACATTTTCTGGGCTGCTCCTACCTTCTTTTGTCAGGAACGTTTTGGTGTAAATATGAACCTTCAAGTATTTGGCATCATTCCAAATCCTTTAGAAACCCAGAGTGGATCCACAATTGCCATATTTTATCCAGATGAACTTGGATATTACCCTTATTTCTCTGAAGATAGAAGATCCATCTATGGTGGAATACCCCAGAAAGGGAACCTCTCTGAGCACCTCAAGAAAAGCGCCAGTGACATTGCAGACACTGTCACCTGGTGGAGATCAGAAGGACTTGCTGTGATTGACTGGGAAGGCTGGAAGCCCCAGTGGGATAGGAATTGGGGCAGCAGGATAATATATAAAAATCACTCATTAGCTTTCACTCGACACCACCATCCTGACTGGTCAGAAGCGAAAGTGAGAACAGTTGCACAACAGGAATTTGAAAATGCTGGAAGGAGTTTTATGAACATTACTCTCACATTAGCTTTAGAAATGAGACCAAAACGTTTATGGGGCTTCTATCTCTACCCAGACTGCTACAACTATGATTACCGGATAAATCCAGAGTTCTACACAGGTCGTTGCCCAGATGATGAAATTTTCCACAATGATCAACTCTTGTGGCTGTGGGAAAAAAGCACAGCACTCTACTCTTCGATATATTTGAGTAAAATATTAAAATCGAATTTAAATGCACTAAAATTTGTTCATTTTCGAGTGAGAGAAGCCCTGAGAGTTGCTGAAATGGCTAGAAAGGACTATGTTTTGCCAGTTTTTGTTTTTTCCAGACCATTTTATTTGCAGAGTTTTGAAGCTCTGTCAGAGGTAAGAAAAAAATAGTCACATAAAAACAGGTTAGTAGAATATATGTAAACTCTAGGAAGAAATATTCATGGGGTGGTTATTTCTCATTAAAATGTTATTCTAGTATTAAAGGAGACAACCCAACTCTGAAATTCCAAACAACTGGTAAACATGCATCTAGAATTTTAGAAGATAAAAAATTCATTCAGAACTCAGAAGAATTTCTCACAGGGTTCTGGTGATTTTTCAGATTGGAAATAGGTAAAAATGGAGATTTGGGATCAAGGTGTGAACCAGTTGGACATTTCATTATGCAATATTTTCCTGTTCAGTGTATTAGATTTACTGAAAAGATGGCATAGGTTCTATTGAATATTTCTTAAGACTCTACAATATGGCCTAGCAGTCAGTGCTGATGGATTGAGTAGTTTATATAAATAGATATTTTGATAATTAGTTGTAATTGTCAACTTGACACAATTTAGAATGCATTGGGAAGAGACTCTTTTTAAATCATTTTTTTATTTGAATTAGAAACAAGATTGTTTTATATGACAATCCTAGTTCCCTTCTCCCTCCCGTCCTGCCCTGCCGCACCCCCTCAACTAAAACACTACCTATCACATATCCTTTTTTCTATTCTTCCCCTGACTCAAGCTTTCTGCTCCCTCATGACCTCTGCATCCTTCCTCTTCTTCCCTTCTCATTTTCGTAGCTCCCTCTTCCCTCTTCTGGTGCTCTCAATTTGCTCAGAGGATCTTGACCCTTTCCCCTTCTCCAGGGGAGCATATATGTCTCTCTTAGGGTCTTCCTTGTTTACTAGCATCTCTGGTCGTGTGGATTGTAGGCTGGTAATCCTTTACTCTATGTTTAAAATCCACATATGAGTGAGTATATATCATGTTTGTCTTTTTGTGATTGGGTTACCTTGCTCAGAATGGTTTCTTCTAGTTCCATCCATTTTCCTGCAAATTTCAAGATTCCATTGTTTTTTTTTTCCTCTGAGTAGAACTCCATTGTGTAAATGTACCACATTTTCTGTGTCCATTCGGGAAGAGACTCTTAATGATGAATTGTTCAGTCTGGGTTACCCCATAGGCATGTCTGTGGGGGAAAGGTCTTGAATCCGCTAGTTGATGTGGGAAGATGGAGACTAAAAGTGGGATGCAGAGCTTTCTGGATTCTACCCCAGGACTGTATAAATGAGGAGAAAGTGAGCTGAGAAATATGAAGCATGCAGGCATCCATTCTGTTCCTGACTGAATGCCAGTGGCTACTTGAAGTCCCTGATGCCTTGACTTCCTGCAAATGATGGGCTGTCACCTCAAATCATGAACTACAATAAACACTTTCTTTCATTAGTTGCTTTGGTTGAGGGTGTTTTATCATAGTCATGGGAAATGAAGGCAGGGCAAGACTATCTTCAGCTCTAACACCAAGTATGAAACATAGAAATATGTGGTGGACTTTGCTTGGGAAATAATGAATTTGAAGACTCTGGAAGTGCTCAAACATTAGCTACATTGTCTCTTAGGGCATTACTGTGGACACAACTATTAGGCAGATGATGCATGAGGAAATTATCACCCCTATCTGAGTGCCAATGACTCCATTATTACAGTGACTAACACAGAGGTAAAGACTATTAGAGCTCACTTTCTTAGACCAGTTATATTAGAGTAGGGACATTTAAAAACATAGACTAAGTCTTTATTTCAAAAGCCGGTTCTGGGCTCATGATGGGAGGTTTAGCAGGCAAAATTTCTTTCCTTGAAGAACTGATAACCTGAGTTTGATCTCTAAAACCCACAATGGAAGGAGAGAACCAGTGCAAATTTTCCTTTAGGTCTCCAAACATGCACTGTGGCACGTGTGAATCTTCACACACACACACACACACACACACACACACACACACACACACGTAGTTGTGGGTAAGACTTTTATTGATAACCTTTATTCTCTGGCAATTTCATAATTACACGATGCATTTTGACTGCTCCCATTCCCTACCCTCTGATAGTTCCTTCCTCTCAGTGACCTTCCCCTTCTATAACTCTCCCATACTCAATTCTTTTTATTTTGCTTTGTGGTCTTGATTTCAGCTGTGTGTTTGGAAGTAATCACAGGCACCTGGTGGATTTACCACTGGGCATACAACTGAAGACCAAGTCAGATTTTCCTAGCATCTTCCAGTAGCCAATAGAATGGCAAGGAGGGTAGGAACCCATGAGCTCCTGTAATCCATGATCTACTGTTGACAGGTCCAGTCTTGTGCTGGTCCAGTGAAGACAAATGCAGCTGCTTTGACGTCTTGTTTGAAATGACTGTGTCATGCTTTGAAGACAGACTTTTGTAGCCTTTACCCACATTTCCATCCAGAAACTCAGACAGGGGTGGGCAAACTGCTACATTGAGGACTGAGTACTCAACTGCTACTTCTCATCACCTTGAGGAGCCATGAGTCTGCATTCAGGAAGCCTTTCACTGAAAAGAAAAGCTTCTCTGGGAAGGTTGAGGGAAACATTTGTCTATGAGCAGTTTGATCTAAGTGTGGCTAAACGACAGTATTCAGTTCCATCATACAACCTGTCTTCTCTCATCATGGGTTTTTAAATTTCTAGTTTTGAGATTATAAATGGATTACATTTTTTCTTTTCATTTTCTCCCTCTAAAATCTCCTATTTACCTCTATATACCCCTCTCTACTATCCTTCAAACTCACTTCAAATTCCTTTCTATTGTATGCATATATATTATATTCCTAAATACACCCTGTTAAGTAACTTAATATAACCTGTTAATTCCTAAATATAACTTGTGCAGTTTGTTTAATGCTACCTGTACATATGCTTTCAGGGTTGATGTTTGGCACTGGACCACCAATTGGTGTGCTCTGCCCTGGAGGTCACCTCTCCCATTCCCAGCTTTCCTCAGTTGCCTATAGTTCTTTGTTTAGGGTTGAGGCCTCATGGTCTAGCATGTTTATTGATGTCATCCTTGCTCAATCCACATTTGGGCAGTCAGGTTCTTGAGACTTTTATGGGTGTACTTCTGATATTGCTAGGAGATGCAATCTCACAGTAAACTCCTTGATCCTCTGGTTCTTAAAACCTTTCCCTTCTCTCCTCCACTATGTTCTTTGAGCCTTAGGTGCAGGAATGTTTTGTGGATGCATTTATTGGGACTGGGCTCCATAACTGCATTTTGGTTGGGTGTGGTTGCTGTAAAGGTCTCTGTTGAGAAAAGTAGTTTCCTTGGTGAGGGGTGTACTCATTTACATATGAGTACAAAGACCAGTGTTCAATGAATATTGCTAGAGATTATACTGGTTTAGTAAATTAGTGGTTGTAGAATCCTCTCCCACTAATCTTATCTTCACTAGCACTGAGTAGTTAGCTTGTTTCCAGTACCAGGCATGACTTCCCCCTTGTTGAGCTGTTGAGCAGGCCTTAATTCTAATTAGGGAGATGCTGGCTTTTGACCAGGTTTATGGTAACACGCATGGATTCTCTACTGTGGAGTAGGCTTCAAATCCAATCAGACAAATCAGTAGGTTTTCCTTATGAAAATGGTGGGCACCTCTTTTCTGGTAGGTTGGTCCCGTAGTTTGTAGGACTCACAGCTGGGTGAAACCACTGTGAAATGCCTTTTCTCTCTTAGCAGCCTGCATAGCACCTTCTGGTACTAGAAACTAGTAAACCTAGTTGGGAGGAAACTTCTAATTCAGTCTCGGCTTTATTTCTCTGTATCTTACAACAAAGATATGTGGTGCGTTTATCACTAAGGTGTCATCAAGTTGTAGGGCAAACAAGAGGAAGGGCAAAAGCCCATGTTGCAAGGCCTCCGGAGGCTTCCTGTCAACCCAGAAGGAAGTGTCCCACACCTGCCACTGGGTTTTTTGTTTAACACACAATGACTTCTAGGAACAGCACTCTCTTCATACCCAAAAGCAGATGATTTTTCTTTGCACATGATTCTGTTTATACACAAGGCCTCATATGCTTTTCCTTTCTTCCCAATCCTGTGTGCTTTATCATAGGAAGCAGCTCTCTAGGTTGTTGCATTCTTAACTGAATGAGCCTCTCCGCCTTTTGTTTTTCCCTTTTTCTCTTCTCTCTCCTACATCTTATGAAAACATTCTCATTCTCATAGACCCATCTAAAATGTTATCTAGCCAAGCAAGACTTCTCAGACTTGGTTCCCTTAATCTATGGATACTGTGTGGGAGCTACAAATATTGATATTTGTAGCTGTATTCATTGTATTGCCATTAATTTGTGGATATGTCTACCTTGAACAAGATTTTACAGAACTCCAGACTGGAACCTATTTGCTTTTATAGCCTCATTATTTAGATTATTTCCTGGAACACTGAACTGTTATCAGATAACCTAAAATGCCCAAATTGCCCTTTCCAGTCCTTCTATAACTGTTTTCTTTATAAACAAAAACATCTCTTAACCAGTGCCTAACACAACTTTGACAGAAATTTCTCCTGGTCCTTCTCTTTTGTAGGAGGACCTGGTGCACACAATTGGAGAAAGTGCTGCATTGGGGGCAGCAGGAATAATATTGTGGGGAGGACACGAATATTCTGAGTCAAAGGTCAGTAGTGATTTTCCTGTTAGTATTGCATTCTAGGTAGTGATTATTACAAAAATGCTTTCTCACACCAGTTGGCTGCTGATGGTTTGTTTCCTTGGCTTTAACAAAGTGCAAAGGCGCTGTAGGGATCAACTCTGATCACCCAGTTTTATACCAGACTGTAGTTAACAGCAGGGTGGACAAACACAAGCTTCAATTGGGCAGCCTAAAGTAAGAAGCCGATTATCATATTCTAAGCGGATAATCGGTGGCATTTTAAGTAACTGCTCTCAGTCTTACCTTCTTCATTCAAAAATTGTACTATAATTAAACCCCACAATGCAGGGGTTTTTAGTAAAAAAAACTGCTATTGTATATACCTGACACAAGTTATTATGAAAGTTTGAAAACAATTTTGTTATGAACAGTGGATTCTCTACACTTATTTTTATTTTGATGGCAGTTTATAAGACAAAGTAGACACGGAAGACAGATTGTATGTATTCAGTAGTTGATTGATATTTTTAAAATGTTGTAGTCAGAATATTGAACATGGCATTTATTTTACAACAAATTGGGAAGTACATAATATGATATTGTTATTTAAGGATATCAGGTTATACAGCAGTTTTTTGGTATTTGTTTGTCTAGCCTGTGTGCACCTTTTAATATATTGATATTTAGATGATTCATGCATAAATGGACCCACACAGTGTTTTTTCTTCTTCTATTTCTTATTCTACTTAGCATAACATCTTCACAATTTGCTAGCATTGTCCTAAATGAATCTCATTCTACTTTTTAAGATTGAATTATTTTCCATTGTGTATATCATATATTCATTATCCACTCATTTCTTGATGGGCACTTGGAGTAGTTACAGTTCTTGACTACAAAGAATAGCCCTGTTTTGAATACAGAAGTGTGAAGGTCACTTCCAGATAATTACCAAACTTTTTTGCTTCCATGTCTGTAACTGTGTATATGAACACATACTTGTGAATGTGCATATATATACATGTATCATATGATAACTATTTTTAATTCTTTTGAACTTCCATACTGGATTCCGTAGGTCTTGCATCTTTTTACATTTGAACTGATAGGCTGAAAGGGTTCCAAACAATGTTATCAACACATGTAATCTCTACATATGTTTTAATATTAGCCAACCTTGATAGTATGTGGTAATGTTTCATTGTAGCTTTGATTTACACTTTTCTGGGAATGAAAAATGTTTATTCAAGTCCTTTCTATATTATTTGTACAAATGACAAGGTGAGTTAGCCAACTTTTTTTTCTTGAGACAAAAAAAATATCTCACAATATAACTGGCCTAGAACTGTCTATATAAATCAGTCTGGTATTAAACTCACAGAGATCCACCTGCTTCTGTCTTCCAATTAAATATTGCAATTAAAGATGTGTGCTACCACGGCTGGGTGTTTTAATTTATCCATATTATCTATGCTAGTAATTGAACTTAAAGTCTCACACATGCTTGGCAAAGTCTGTATGAGTGAGCTTTATTCCTAGTCTCATTTTATTTCACTTTTTTGACATAGGAGCTTATTAAGTTGACTAGGATGGCCTTGAACTCAACTCTGTAGATCACTCAAGCCACAGACTTGTGATTCCCTTGCTTCAGCCTTCCAAGTGGCCGAGGTTACAGGCCTATACCACCAAGCCTGGCTACTTTGTGTATTTTCTTTTGTTTAGTTATTATGTGTGCTATTTTGGGTAATTTAGATTTTGGACATGTTGTTAGTTACTGTAGAAAATAGGAGTTTTGCATATCTTTTCCATTACTCTGTAGGACGCATTTTCAATCTATAAACTGTTTTTTATTTTTTTCCCCTGTGTGTGCAGAAGTGTTTAGTCTGACAGAGTTTCACTTGCTTATTTCTGCTTCTGTCACCCATGCTTTTGGTTTCATGCAAGAGAATTATCACAATTGACAGGAAGCAGGAAGAAAAACCAGCTTTCTGCTACGGTTTTATAATTTACTGGCTTTTTTTATGTTTAAATTTAAACCACTTTCTGTGAAGTTTCCTATGCTGTATAGCTAGTGGTTCAAGTTTGTTTGGACAATTCTTCCCAACACTATATTTTAACAAGTTGGTCTTTTCTGTGTTATGTGTTCTTGACATCCTTGTCAAAGATCAGTTGTGTATGTGTCTATTTCTGGACTCCAATCTGTTTTTCAAGCATCTCTCATTTTTCCCCCCACAGGAGGCTTGCTTATCTGTGCAACAAACTATTCAAGGGCTGTTGGGCCCTTATGTTTTCAATGTAACGTCTGCAGCGAAGCTCTGCAGTCAAAGTCTATGTAATAGTCATGGTCGATGTGTTCGAAAGACAGTGGAATCCTCCTTTTATCTTCATATGCCTGAAGATAGCCACAAGAGTTATGTCATAAACAAAGGTTTCAAATTTGTCACTTCTGCAAGGAGTAAGCTGAAGACAATAATGAATATGAAGAATGGATTTGTGTGTCACTGTTACTATGGCTGGTATGGAGAGTCCTGCAGATCTCACTTTCCAAATCTCTTGAGTCGGAAGAACAAGGCTCCTGTAACTGCATTTAATTCAGTAGTATTTCTTGGCATGACTTTATGTGTGATTCTAATGAATTGTTTTATTATTCCCTACTATGATGTCAGTTTTTTCTTAAAATACTAAGGAGAAGGAAATGTCATTTTTCTTTTATCTCAACTCTTTCATAAACAATTTTGAGTTTTAAATTTCATGTGAATTGTTTGTTGGATGTTCATTTCGCCTGGGAAATAGGAATAAGCCTGTCCTCACGGAGCTTAGAAATTAGTTAAGGATAAATAAGCAGTGATGGTGATGGTACTTCATAGAATAAAGAGAAAACAGGTGAGGAATTAGGAAGGATTAGAGAGCACTGGAAATTGTATATAAGGCAGTCACGTAAAGCCTTTATAGTGAGAAGAAGGCAGCAGAAGAAACGGGCCAACACTATTGGGGATGGGTACATTACGGTTTCCTCCTGTAACCAGAGCACCTGTAAGGCAGAGGTAGATTATAATTTCAAGGCCAGCTTGGCTTGCACAGTGAGTTTACAGTCAAGATATCATAGCAAGAGTTTGTCTCAAAAAAAAAAAAAAAAAAGGAAAATGAAACTACAAGAGAAAAAATTCGGAAGAATGTATCTGGGGAAAGTGTTCTTGAAATAAGGTAAAGCAAACCCAGAGGAAACAACTCTTTGTAGTCCAGGGATTGTGAACTTGTAAATAATGAGCAATACAAAACAAACAGCCACCATGACTGCCACCCCAGGATACTAACCTATGGAGATGACCAAACTCTTTAAATGTAGGTGATGGGGATCCACTTTACCCACAGTGCCTTGGATATTCATGTGCCTCATTGATATCAAAAGATGAACCCTACTAGCTTCTTTCACAATAAAATTTATATGGTAAATCCCTTCATTTGCTGCCTCTTGGTTTATTGAAATATACTGTACCCAAACAGTTTGTCAGTTTTCACTGGGATTTGAAAATCTCATGGTGGTGACTTGACTTAACTAAGTTGTAAACCAAATAATTTCATTTCACTGAGACTCAACAGAGTGTGGTGCCCTAAATATTATTTACTTTTCTAAGGCTAGGAGAGGTATTTTCCTGCCTGATAGGTTCCAAATAGTGTACTATCAGACTATCTCCTTGCATACACGTAGAATTTTATAAGAGCTCACATTCAGATTCTCATGCTAATACTAATTGGTCCACTAATTATTTATTTCATCATGTATTCTGGGAAAAAGCAAAAGGTGAAGAAGCAATGAAATATAGAAAGCAAGATTGAAGGGTATGTATGAAATTTCCTGTCCTGTTGGTTTCCTGCACCACAAAATCTGTATTTACAGGAATTAAAGCCCTAGGTATAAGCATGCAATGTTTTCTGTAAGTATTCAACTGGCCACTCTATCACACAAGAGGAAATGATTCTTCCTAGTCTTCCAGTGAAGAAAAACTATTTAACAGCTGTTATACCAGGGCTCAGACACTGAACTCACTCCAATAAAACAGGAAAGACAACTGTTAAGTATTACCACCGGATGAAGGAAATAAAGTACATAAAGAATAATAGAGACATGCCAAATCTTGTTCAGCCACCAGTGAAAACATCAGATGTAGAATCTACTGTTTAAAATGCCTCTGGAACAACTAGGGTATCCGAAGGATTGACATATGTAGAAGAAAAGGGGAAACACCATAAATTAGTAGAAGAACTATTACTCACAGGCAGTCATTTAACGTTTTCTAAATAAGAACATTTTTGAATTTTATTTTACCATTATAAAATAAAAACAATGCCACACATTTTATTTTTTAAAAAATGTTGATCTTGTGTGTATGACTTTCTGCTTGTATGTATGTATGTATGTATGTATGTATGTATGTATGTATATGTACCATGTGTATGCGTTGCTTGCAAAGGCCAGAGAGGGTTTCAGATTCCCTGGAACTGGAGTTACAGACATTTGTAAGGTGCCGTGAGGGTGCTGGGAACCCTACCCAGGTCCTCTTCAAGAGCAGTAGAAGCTCTTCAACGTCGAGCCACCTCACCAACCCCAATGGTCATATTTCTAATGGTAGATTCTTTAGATGGCAGTTTGTAAATCTGAAGTCAAGTGCAGGTTATGCGGGATTTTTAGGCCTTGTTGTCCCTTCCTTTACTTGCATACATTTGCACTCCCAGACTATGTACTTAATCAGCTACCTACTGAAAGTGGGAATTGATGGTGTGTTTGACAAAGACAAATACACATACGTGTTTTTCATATCTAAGACACAGTTCTAAGAAATGAACAAAGGGATCCTCTGTCAGACTGATGATAAAATTGATGCACCAATGACTCCAGTAAAGGAAACGTCTCATAAGAGGATAAAGACTATGTTAGCAGACTGCAGGAGCACCATCTTAACCCAAATCACTCGAGGAGTAGCAGTCTATTGCCGGGGGTATGCATTCTTTCTAATCATAAAGAATGCGCATCTTCATCTCACAGACAAATCCTTAATAATTATACACTTTGACTCTTAGCAAATTTGTGGTGAGTTATTTTTATATGAAAGGCATTCTTTACCATGTCTTTTGAAGTTCTTATCAAATACAGACTCTTGTCTTTGGCCTAGGAGAAATTTTTTCCCAGATTTTATTTTATTTGAATTAGAAACAAGATTGTTTTACATGTCACTCCCAGTTACCTCTCCCTCCCCTTCTCCCCTAACCCCCCAAAACCCTACCTATCACATATCCTTTCTGCTCCTCCTGGATGGTGAGGCCTTCCATAGGGGGCCATCAGTTTATAGTATCCTTTAGGATAGGGCCTAGGCCCATCCCTGTGTGTCTTGGCTCAGGGAGTATTCCTCTATGTGGAATGGGCTCCCAAAGTTCACACCTATGCTAGGGATAAGTACTGAACTACTACAGGAGGTCCTGTAGATTTCCAAGGTTTCCTCATTGAAACCCACTTTCCTGGGGTCTGGTTCAGTCCCATGCTGGTATCCCAGATATCAGTCAGGGCAGCAAGTTCCCCAATGCTCAGGTCAGCTGTTTCTGTGGGTTTTGCCAGCCTGGTCTTGACCCCTTTGCTCTTCACTCGTTCTTCTCTGCATCTGGATTCCAATTCAGTTCAGTGGTAAGTTGTGGGTGTCTGCTTCTACTTCCACCAGCTGCTGGATGAAGGCTATAGGATCGAATATAAGTCAGTCATCAATCTCATTATCAGGGGAGGGCATTTAAGGTAGCCTCTCCTCTGTTGCTTAGATTGTTAGTTGGTGTCATCTTTGTAGATCTCCAGACATTTCCCTAGGGTCAAGATCTCCTGATCAAATTGGGAGCACGGGAAGAGGGAGGAGCTAGGAGAATGAGAAGCGGAGAAGAGGAGGGATGCAGAGGACATGAGGGAGCAGAAAGGTTGAGACGGGAAGAATAAAAGATAACAAGAATGGAGATACCATAATAGAGGGAGACATTTTAGGTTTACAGAGAAATAAGGCACTAGGCCTAGGAGAATTTTATTATTTTTCAAGTGATGGCTAGTCTCTTATTTTCTCTGTTCACTTAAGGCATTTCTATTGGATTGAGTCCCAATTCTTCTGTATCTGTCCCATTTTGCTTTTTTTCTCTGGTGTTTTAAGCTTCTATGAAACTTTTGCTTTGTACTGTAGAATTGTTTTTTAGCCTTTTCTCTATAATACCAATTTAGTTACTCAATTATTTCAAAGAGCTCTTTGGGAGGATGCATGTCTTTCCTCCTTTCTCACAGTGGTCTTGTTTTTGGTATCCAACTTAATGGCATCTTAAATCTCTCGAAAAATAGGAGATTTTTGTTAATTCTCAACTGCTTTCTGACACAGGGTCATCTTATGCTATACAGGCTGTCCTTGAACTCAGGATCCTTCTGCCTTCTGAGTATACACTTGACACTTTGTTCTGATTTTTTGAACGTTGCCACTGTTACATATTTCATCCCCCTGTCCCATTCTCTAGTGTGAGTTGTTCCCTTCATTAATTTCTTCTCTTTCACACTGTTGGTCAGTATTGTGTGTCTGGTAGTCCTTGGACATCATACCTGTGAAGGACTTGAATCGATGAAAAATCTATCATAGTCATTTTATTCCTGTGCTGAAATTACTTACTCAACAGGATTCTTGGATTGCATGGGAGGACTCTGTGATAGGATCTGGGGCATGTGGACCGGTAGCATTCCTTCTTGTGTGCCTGAGAGGAAAACATGCAGGTTGGTAGGAACTCCCATAATTATCAAGGGAAGGAGGAAATTATCATGGGAGAAGAGTGTAATTCCCCAAGAGCTGAACAATCTCTACTGCTTTCTGTGCTAACTGTCGAGAACACCTCTCTGCATTTAAACTATGCTTTTGTATTTGTCCCCAATATACAAGTGCAGTCCTATGTAGGAACAGCCGTTTAAATATTCTGAGGTCAGCTGTCTGTCCTACCTGCCACTCTACATCTTTTGGGAATGAGAGTGTAGTCTGACTGCTCCTGGGACCGGTGAACAATGTTCCAACTGATCACTCTGATAATTGCCCTCCATCCCCTTCCTTGGTTTTCTGTTTTCAATCATGGAGTTCTTTTTTTAAGGAAAGAAACAACTGAGGCCTTTATAGTACTGCTTTACCACGGACCTTGCTTGTTGTCGTTTTATTTTTCACATTTCCTGATTTGAGTTCGTCTGTTTTCATTTTTATATTATTTTGTCTAGTGACACGTGCAGAGAATGACACATTAAATGAAGACAAGCTCAACTCACATCTTTATTTGAGTGGCTCAGCATTCGGAGCCCCTAGTTCTAGTTGATTCACGATTTTCTCAAGATGATACTTAATGTCCCACTAAGAGTCAATTATTCTGCTGTTAAGGTCAGCACATTAGGGTCTGTTTGTTAAAATAACACACAGTACACAAAGCCTCAACTCCCTTTGATTCTTCAATCTGGAAATCTCACCTAACTAGTCTCCTTCACTGTTTCCTGCTGAAATTCCAATCCCTTTTCTTTCCTCCTCCTTAAGTTAGAGAATTCAAATTGGATATTTTAAGAAAGCAAGGGTCATTTATACTAAAATAGTTTTAAGGGAGACTGCCTTTGATTATAAAGAGATTTAACGCAAGCCTCCTGTTTA